CGCGTCAAGAATATGAAACCTCTGTGGGTGTCCCACTCTCTCCCCGTGTCTCTCTACCGCTCTCTATGGGACCCTATGGGTGTCTCTGTGTGAGTCTCTCGCTCTCTGTGTGAGTCTCTCGCTCTCTGTGTGAGTCTGTGGCTCTCTGTGTGAGTCTGTGGCTCTCTGTATCAGTCTATGGCTCTCTGTGTAAGTATGTGGCTCTCTGTGTAAGTATGTGGCTCTCTGTGTAAATCTATGGCTCTCTGTGTGAGTCTATGGCTCTGTGTGAGTCTGTGGCTCTCTGTGTGAGTGTGTGGCTCTCTGATTGAGTCTGTGGCTCTCTGCTGTGAGAGTATGTGGCTCTCTGTGTGAGTATATGGCTCTCTGTGTGAGTCTGTGGCTCTCTGTGTAAGTCTGTGGCTCTCTGTGTGAGTCTATGGCTCTCTGTATAAGCCTGTGGCTCTCTGTGTGAGTCTATGAGTGTCTGTGTGAGTCTATGGCTCTCTGTGTGAGTCTGTGGCTCTCTGTGTGAGTCTATGGCTCTCTGTGTGAGTCTGTGGCTCTCTGTGTGAGTCTGTGGCTCTCTGTGTGAGTCTGTGGCTCTCTGTGTGAGTCTGCGGCTCTCTGTGGAACCCAGCTCCTCTGCCTCTGAGCCACCGATCATGAGCCGTCCAGTTAAACGTCCAGTGACTTTTGAATCACTCTGTACAATAACCCTATTCCTGACTTTTAGGCCACGCTGTATAATAACCATATCTACCTTTAATTATCGGTACACCCTGTATTTATAAACACATGATGTTTATCACGAATCAAAACACTGCATCGTAACCACCAGCATCACGCGGACCAGGAGCTCCTCAACTGTAGAGCACTGAGTTCAAATCCTGGTTGGGGTAGATGGAGGTTGGCTCAGCCCATCATCATCACCATCAGCAATCTAGCGTCGTTAAAATGATACCACTTTGTGGCAAAAGTCAAAATGTCCTGTCCTTTTGGAGAGACTTGCGCCCCGTGGAATTGTTGACCGTTGTTGTTGACCTCCCCTCCAAGTGGTACCTATTTTATCAACCCCGAAGAAATGATGATGATGATGATGATGATGGGCTGAGTCAACCCCACGCCTCCCAAACCAGAATTTGAACTCGAAAAAGAGAGGAAAAAAACGGTGCAATAACAAGAGGATTATTAGACATTGGCATACCTTGTAATCTAGTGGTAGTGCCTTACGCCGAAAATCCCATGTCTCCCCAAGCCGGCTCTATACCAGCAGCAGCGTGCCGGTAATAATCGAGTGAGTGAGAAATCAAGTTCTGGCTTCAGGATTTTAATGTCATCGAGACGTGGGAGTGAGGGGGGGGGGGAGTGTGTGGACATGGAAGAGTGGAGAGAGAGGGAGGGGGGAGAGAGATGGAGTCACTTCCGCGGATGTTTAAAGAACCCACACCTCTGGGTGTCTCGACTCGTTATCTTTCGACAGCTCCGCGTGCCCCTGGGACTCACAGAGCCAAGCAAAGCCGCCTCCACCACCACCCCCTCCCTCCCTCCCCTTGCCACACGTCACATTGGGGAGGGTGGAGGAACTTCCGCGGATGTTTGACGGACAAACACCTCTGGCTCGACTCGTTATCGCCCGACGGCCCCGTGAGTCACGTGCCCTGGGTCCATACAGAGCCAGGCAAGGCAGACGCCCGTACCCCCTACCCCATCACCTACCACCAACATATTGCGGTGTGGAGGAATCTTCTTGGTTCTTTCGGTAAAGTCACGTAGAAGGGAAATAATAAAATAATAAAAAATACAACTTAATAAAATAATTCTCACGACGAGGGGGAAGAGCGCCTTGACAAAATAATTCCCCCTCCAACCCAGCTTAAATATACGCTCCAAGCCTGGGGTGTTTCATTCAGACGCTGTCTTCCCGACAGACCTGTTCTTCACCTGAGGACGGCTGCTTGCATTGCGGCCGAAACGTCGTGAGAATTGTATTTTATTATGTTTTATTTTCATTATTGTATTATTTCCCTTCTACGTGATGACTTTACCGAAAGAACCAAGAAGATAAATCCCTGCAGTCACGAAAGCTTTAAATCGAAATTTTATGAAGTTTTATTTTTATTATTTTATAAAGTTTTATTTTTATTATTTTATAAAGTTTTATTTTCATTATTTTACAAAGTTTTATTTTTTATTATTTTATTATGTTTTATTTTGATTATTTTATTATGTTTCATTTTATTATTTTATAAGTTAAATTTTTATTATTTTATTATGTTTTATTTTCATTATTTTATTACTTCCCTTCTACCTGATGACTTTACCAAAAGAACCAAGAAGATGAATCCCTGCAGTCACGAAAGCTTTAAATCGAAATTGTATTAAGTTTTATTTTTATTATTTTATAAAGTTTTATTTTTAGTATTTTATAAAGTTTTATTTTTATTATTTTATTATGTTTTATTTTTATTATTTTATACGTTTTATTTTTATTATTTTATTTTGTTTTATTTTTATTATTTTATTACTTCCCTTCTACGTGATGACTTTACCGAAAGAACCAAGAAGATGAATCCCTGCAGTCACGAAAGCTTTAAATCGGTGTGGTGGAACTTCCGCGGATGTTTGACGGACAGACACCTCGAGGTGTCATTACGCGTTATCGCTCCGTGAGTCACGTGCCCTGGGTCCCCACAGAGCCAATCAACGCTCCCCTCCCCGCTCACCCAGCCCCCACCCACCCACCCACCACACGTGACCTTCATTGTTCACGCCCCCTGCATTGTTTCCAGATGTTCTGTGTCCAACCAGGGGCCTCGTTACCGAGCGGACGATGTCTGGCAACTCGCCCTGTACTGGGTTAGCTGTGTCAGGCTATGTGGGTCTCTATGCGAGTCTATGGGACTCTATGTGAGTCTGTGGGTCTCTGTGTGAGTCTATGGGTCTCTGTGTGAGTCTGTGGGTCTCTGTGTGAGTCTATGGGTCTCTATGTGAGTCTATGGGTCTCTGTGTGAGTCTATGGGTCTCTGTGTGAGTCTATGAGTCTCTGTGTGAGTCTATGGATCTCTGTGAATATATTGGTCTCTGTGTGAGTCTATGTCGGGCCTTCCATGCATCTCTCGGCCTTCACGGCCACCGTTTTGCCCTCCCGATATTCTTGGCAACCGTGGACCCCCTCCATCATGGCGTGACGTGAACCAAACATGGAACACCTGACGCAGATTTGGGGCAATTCGCTGTTGGCGAGTGGCAGCGCCTATGAAGGCCGGCACGGCACACGAGGGGGTGGGTGGCCAGCACCACGCCCGACCGCCTTTGTCTCCCCAGTGGCGATGTTTACTACACGCCGCACCAGGTACTCATTTGAGGCCGAGTCAACCTAGGGGATGCCCAAAACCGGTCCAGATAATCGTCACCGGTGTTGGCCGTGAGCGGGAATCGAACTCGGGTCGCCGGGTTCGTAGCGCAGCATTGCGCTGACCGCTACACCACCGCTCCCACACACATGCACAGAGACACACGCAGAGAGACACACACAGAGACACACACAGAGAGACATACAGAGATACACACAGAGACACACACAGATATACACACAGAGACACACACAGAGACACACACAGACAGACAACAACAACAACAACAACCGCCATTCGCCACTAAGTGGCGGTGACGTCACCACGATGCTTGTGCCAGGCCAAGTGCACCTTGAGGCCACGTGAAGTGTCGAAAGCCCGCTGGCAGGAGGTCACGGGGCAGACCCAGCAGGTGCCACGGGTCGACTGACCGAGATGACCGAGATGACTGGCTGATGCACCACCTGTGCCCCCTACTGTGCCAACTTGCTGTGCTTTAGCCACCCGGCGCTCCGCTCGTTGTTGTGAGCGTCGCTCCTCCGCCGTCCGTTGTTGTTGGAGGGCGACTGCCTCCAACTGCCCAGTAGCGTCCTTCACGAGCCTCCTCCACTGAGGCCGATCTTGACACCGCTGGTACCAGTCATCGGCAAGTCCACTCAGCTCCACGTCCTCCTGTACCACATCACTCCATCTCTTCTCCAGCCCGTGCCGCGCCCGTCTAGCCCCCTCGATCCGGTCGAACAAAAGCTGTTTAGGCATGCGGTGGCTGGGCATGCGGGCTACATGACCCAGCCAACGCAGCCTTGCCTGCCGGAGGAGCTCACTGATGGGACTTTGCCCAGATCTTTCAAGGATTTGTGAGCTCCTCACACAATCCAGCCTGGTTAAACCCAGGATGGATCGTAGGCAGGCCAGCCTAAATGTTTCCAACCGGCGAAGATGCTCCACCAGGGGGGTCCACAGACAGACACACACAGAGAGACACACACAGAGACACACGCACAGAGAGACACACACAGAGACACACGAACAGAGACACACACACAGAGAGACACACACCGAGACACACGCACAGAGACACACACTCAGAGACACACACAGAGACACACACACACACAGAGACACACATACACACACACAGAGACACACACAGAGAAACACACACAGAGACACACAGACATACACACACAGACACACACACAGAGACACACACAGAGACACACACAGAGACACACACACACACAGAGACACACACAGAGAGACAGACACACACACACACAGAGACACACACGGACACACACAGAGACACACACAGAGACACAGACACACACAGACACACACACAGAGACACACACAGACACACACACAGAGATACACACAGAGACACACAGAGACACACACAGAGACACACAGACACACACACACAGACACACACAGAGACACACACACACACAGAGACACACACAGAGAGACAGACACACACACAGAGACACTCACAAAGACACACACAGAGACACACAGACACACACAGACAGACACAGACAGAGACACACACAGAGACACACACACACGCTCGCACTCTGTCATTAATGTGCTCACTCTGGGCGCACATTGCTGAGGCTATTCTCAGCGCGGTTAAAATTAAAACGCCTTATCTCAATCAGCCCCACAGCGGCGCACGGCTGCGCCGATTTCTTTCGGGAGGCATGGGGAGGCCGCGACGCGACGTTTCGGGATTCTACCGGGCGCGGCAGGGATGGTAAGGGTACGCGCGCGCGTGCGTGCGTGCGTGTGCACCTAGCCTGGCACCCCGCTGTGGTGGTGGTGGTGGTGATGATGATGGTGCTGCTTAGTAGGTGTGTGGTGTCGTTTGCTGTGGGGTTATAATGCATGGCAGGGAGGGGGAGCGGTGGTGCTGCGGTTAGCGCGCTCGCTCTCTCTCTCTCGGCCCGAGTTCGATTCCGTCTCGGGGCGAGGTTGAAAAACGACGACTCCCCTAGGTCGGTTCAGCCTCAACATGTCACGTGGCCTGGAGCGGTGATTAAATATGATGATATTCAGTACGGGGAGAGACAAAGACTGCCATAGCTGCTGCTACTGCTGCTACTCGCTAACAGCACTTGCCCCAACGGTCCGTCAATGCTACACGGGGGATCTTTGTCTTTCGTCTGCGTCTAATCTCCGTCAACCCATGGCACCACCTGGGTCTGTCCCGTGACCTCCTCCTGCCAACATCATCAGCAGCAGCATCTGCAGCAGCGGCATCGAGTGAGCAGCTTCCACACTTCACGCCACGGCCTCAAAGTGCACCTAGCCTGGCACGAGCGCCGTGGGAATGTCACCGCCATTGATTGGCTGAATGGCGGTCGTTGTTGTTGTTGTTATAGAGGTGTGTACAGGTGTGTATAGGTGTGCACAGGTGTGTGTGTGTGCACAGGTGTGTGTGTGTGCACAGGTGTGTGTGTGTATGTGCTTGCCGAGTGGACTTGCCGATGACTGGTACCAGCGGTGTCTGTCTGTTATAGAGGTGTGTACAGGTGTGCACAGGTGTGTGTGTGCACAGGTGTGTGTGTGTATGTGCTTGCCGAGTGGACTTGCCGATGACTGGTACCAGCGGTGTCAAGATCGGCCTCTGTGGAGGAGGCTCGTGAAGGACGCTACTGGGCAGTTGGAGGCAGTCGCCCTCCAACAACAACGGAGGGCGGAGGAGCGACGCTCACAACAACGAGCGGAGCGCCGGGTGGCTAAAGCGCAGCAAGTCGGTACAGTAGGGGGCACAGGTGGTGCATCAGCCAGTCATCTCGGTCATCTCGGTCAGTCGACCCGTGGCACCTGGGTCTGCCCCGTAACCTCCTGCCAGCGGGCCTTCGACACTTCACGTGGCCTCAAGGTGCACTTGGCCTGGCACAAGCGTCGTGGTGACGTCACCGCCACTTAGTGGCGAATAGCGGTTGTTGTTGTTGTTGTGTCTGAATGTATGTGTGTGCACAGGTGTGTGTGTGCTACCCCTACTACTACCCCTGTGGGGAGCGGTGGGGTAGTGGTTAGCGCTACACTGCGCTTTGAACCTGGCCACCCGGGTTCGATTCCCGCTCACGGCCAGACACCAATGGCGATTATCTGAACCGGGCCTGGGCCTCCCCTAGGTCGACTCAGCATCAAATGAGTACCTGGTGAGATGTGTAAACATCGCCACTGGGGAGACAAAGGCGGCTGGGCGTGGTGCTGGTCACCCACCCCCTCGTGTGCCGTGCCGGCCTTCATAGGTGCTACTCGCTAACAGCACTTGCCCCTACAGTCTGTTAAGGCTACACGGGGGATCTTTGTTCTTTGTTTCATATTGGGTGACGATGTCACGGGGAGCGGTGGCGCAGCGGTTAGCGCACCGCTCCACCCGAGTTCGATTCCCGCTCACGGCTAATAGCAGTGTCAGCGAATGTTCGAACCGTTCCATGGGCGTCCTCCCCTAGGTCGACTCAGCCATAAAGTGAGTACCTTGTGCGGTGTCTAAAATAAGATTTATATAATCGGTCACGTTTTGGGCAATGACCATGCTTAAGAATCACCTATTTTATACTTAAATACTGTGTAGGATAGGTGTAAGCCGATGGGTCTCGGTGATTCTGTAGGTGTCTCTGTAAGTCTATGGGTCTCTGTGATTCTATAGGTGTCTCTGTAAGTCTATGGGTCTCTGTGATTCTATGGGTGTCTCTGTAAGTCTATGGGTCTCTGTGATTCTATGGGTGTCTCTGTAAGTCTATGGGTCTCTGTGATTCTGTGGGTGTCTATGGGTCTCGCTACCTCTACAACTACTGCTATCACTAACCCTATCGCTACCCCTATCACCACCCCTATCACTATCACTACCCCTATCACTACCCCTACCACTACCCCTGTCACTACCCCTACCGCTACCCCTATCACTACCCCTATCACTACCCCTACCGCTACCCCTATCACTACCCCTATCACTACCCCTATCACTACCCCTATCACTACCCCTACCGCTACCCCTATCACTACCCCTATCGCTACCCCTACTGCTACCCCTACCACTACCCCTATCACTACCCCTATCACTACCCCCGTCACTACCCCCGTCACTACCCCTGTCACTACCCCTATCACTACCCCCATCACTACCACTATCACTACCCCTGTCACTACCCCTGTCACTACCCCTGTCACTACCCCTATCACTACCCCTATCACGACCCCTATCACTACCCCTATCACTACGCCTATCACTACCCCTGTCACTACCCCTGTCACTACCCCTGTCGCTACCCCTGTCACTACCCCTGTCACTACCCCTACCACTACCCCTGTCACTACCCCTGTCACTACCCCTGTCACTACCCCTACCACTACCCCTACCACTACCCCTGTCACTACCCCTGTCACTACCCCTGTCACTACCCCTGTCACTACCCCTGTCGCTACCCCTGTCACTACCCCTGTCACTACCCCTACCACTACCCCTGTCACTACCCCTGTCACTACCCCTGTCACTACCCCCTGTCACTACCCCTGTCACTACCCCTACCACTACCCCTACCACTACCCCTGTCACTACCCCTGTCATACCCCTGTCACTACCCCTACCACTACCCCTACCACTACCCCTGTCACTACCCCTGTCACTACCCCTGTCACTACCCCTACCACTACCCCTACCACTACCCCTGTCACTACCCCTGTCACTACCCCTATCACTACCCCTATCACGACCCCTATCACTACCCCTATCACTACGCCTATCACTACCCCTGTCACTACCCCTGTCACTACCCCTGTCACTACCCCTGTCGCTACCCCTGTCACTACCCCTGTCACTACCCCTACCACTACCCCTGTCACTACCCCTGTCACTACCCCTGTCACTACCCCTACCACTACCCCTGTCACTACCCCTGTCACTACCCCTGTCACTACCCCTGTCACTACCCCTGTCGCTACCCCTGTCACTACCCCTGTCACTACCCCTACCACTACCCCTGTCACTACCCCTGTCACTACCCCTGTCACTACCCCTGTCACTACCCCTGTCACTACCCCTACCACTACCCCTACCACTACCCCTGTCACTACCCCTGTCACTACCCCTGTCACTACCCCTACCACTACCCCTACCACTACCCCTGTCACTACCCCTGTCACTACCCCTACCACTACCCCTACCACTACCCCTGTCACTACCCCTGTCACTACCCCTGTCACTACCCCTGTCACTACCCCTACCACTACCCCTACCACTACCCCTGTCACTACCCCTGTCACTACCCCTGTCACTACCCCTACCACTACCCCTACCACTACCCCTGTCACTACCCCTGTCACTACCCCTATCACTACCCCTATCACGACCCCTATCACTACCCCTATCACTAACGCCTATCACTACCCCTGTCACGACCCCTGTCACTACCCCTGTCACTACCCCTGTCGCTACCCCTGTCACTACCCCTGTCACTACCCTACCACTACCCCTGTCACTACCCCTGTCACTACCCTGTCACTACCCCTACCACTACCCTTACCACTACCCCTGTCCTACCCCTGTCACTACCCCTGTCACTACCCCTGTCACTACCCCTGTCGCTACCCCTGTCCACTACCCTGTCACTACCCCTACCACTACCCCTGTCACTACCCCTGTCACTACCCCTGTCACTACCCCTGTCACTACCCCTACCACTACCCCTACCACTACCCCTGTCACTACCCCTGTCACTACCCCTGTCACTACCCCTACCACTACCCCTACCACTACCCCTGTCACTACCCTGTCACTACCCTGTCACTACCCCTACCACTACCCCTACCACTACCCCTGTCACTACCCCTGTCAGCTCCCCCTGTCACTACCCCTGTCACTACCCCTACCACTACCCCTACCACTACCCCTGTCACTACCCCTGTCACCACTACCCCTACCACTACCCCTGTCACTACCCCTGTCACTACCCCTGTCACTACCCCTACCACTACCCCTACCACTACCCCTGTCACTACCCTGTCACTACCCCTGTCACTACCCCTACCACTACCCTACCACTACCCTGTCACTACCCTGTCACTACCCCTGTCACTACCCCTGTCGCTACCCCTGTCACACCCCTGTCACTACCCTACCACTACCCCTGTCACTACCCCTGTCACTACCCCTGTCACTACCCCTACCACTACCCCTACCACTACCCTGTCACTACCCCTGTCACTACCCCTGTCACTACCCCTGTCACTACCCCTGTCGCTACCCCTGTCACTACCCCTGTCACTACCCCTACCACTACCCCTGTCACTACCCCTGTCACTACCCCTGTCACTACCCCTGTACTACCCCTGTCACTACCCCTACCACTACCCCTACCACTACCCCTGTCACTACCCCTGTCACTACCCCTGTCACTACCCCTACCACCACTACCCCTACCACTACCCTGTCACTACCCCTGTCACTACCCCTGTCACTACCCCTACCACTACCCCTACCACTACCCCTGTCACTACCCTGTCACTACCCCTGTCACTACCCCTGTCACTACCCCTACCACTACCCCTACCACTACCCCTGTCACTACCCCTGTCACTACCCCTGTCACTACCCCTACCACTACCCCTACCACTACCCCTGTCACTACCCCTGTCACTACCCCTGTCACTACCCCTACCACTACCCCTACCACTACCCCTGTCACTACCCCTGTCACTACCCCTGTCACTACCCCTGTCACTACCCCTACCACTACCCCTACCACTACCCCTGTCACTACCCCTGTCACTACCCCTGTCACTACCCCTACCACTACCCCTACCACTACCCCTGTCACTACCCCTGTCACTACCCTACTACACATGGAAACGACTGCGTGGACGGGCAATGTGATGAGCGTTCGTTTTGGTGAATTCATTTTCGAACACCCTGTGCTACTGCTATAGTCACCAGGTCGACTAACATTGCCCATAGACTAACACTGCCCATAGACTAACATTGCCCATAGACTAACATTGCCCATAGACTAACATTGCCCATAGACTAACATTGCCCATAGACTAACATTGCCCATAGACTAACATTGCCCATAGACTAACACTGCCCATAGACTAGCATTGCCCATAGACTAACACTGCCCATAGACTAACACTGCCCATAGACTAACATTGCCCATAGACTAGCATTGCCCATAGACTAACACTGCCCATAGACTAACATTGCCCATAGACTAGCATTGCCCATAGACTAACATTGCCCATAGACTAACATTGCCCATAGACTAACATTGCCCATAGACTAGCATTGCCCATAGACTAACACTGCCCATAGACTAACATTGCCCATAGACTAGCATTGCCCAAGACTAACATTGCCCATAGACTAACATTGCCCATAGACTACATGCATAGCTAACATTGCCCATAGACTAACATTGCCCATAGACTAACATTGCCCATAGACTAACATTGCCATAGACTAACATTGCCCATAGACAGTTAACATTGCCCTACTACATTGCCATAGACTAACACTGCCCATAGACTAACACTGCCCATAGACTAACATTGCCCATAGACTAACACTGCCCATAGACTAACATTGCCCATAGACTAACACTGCCCATAGACTAACATTGCCCATAGACTAGCATTGCCCATAGACTAACATTACCCATAGACTAACACTGCCCATAGACTAACATTGCCCATAGACTAACATTGCCCATAGACTAACATTGCCCATAGACTAACATTGCCCATAGACTAACATTGCCCATAGACTAACACTGCCCATAGACTAACACTGCCCATAGACTAACATTGCCCATAGACTAACACTGCCCATAGACTAACATTGCCCATAGACTAACACTGCCCATAGACTAACACTGCCCATAGACTAACACTGCCCATAAACTAACATTACCCATAGACTAACATTGCCCATAGACTAACACTGCCCATAGACTAACATTGCCCATAGACTAACATTGCCCATAGACTAACATTGCCCATAGACTAACATTGCCCATAGACTAACATTGCCCATAGACTAACATTGCCAAGAGGCTTACATCACTCACTCACCGTCTCACTCACCATCTCACTCATTCACTCACTCACTCACCCATGCACTCACTCACCATCTCACTCACCATCTCACTCATTCACCCACTCACTCACCATCTCACTCATCCACCCACTCACTCACCATCTCACTCATTCACTCACCCACTCACTCACCATCTCACTCATTCACTCACTCACTCATCCACCCACTCACTCACCCATTCATTCACCCACTCACTCACCATCTCACTCACTCATTCACTCACTCACTCACCATCTCACTCACCATCTCACTCATTCACCCACTCACCATCTCACTCATTCACTCACTCATTCACCCACTCACCATCTCACTCATTCACCCACTCACTCACTCACCATCTCACTCATCCACCCACTCACTCACCATCTCACTCATTCACTCATTCACCCACTCACCATCTCACTCATTCACTCACTCACTCACCCACCCACCCACTCACTCACCCACTCATTCACCCACTCACTCACCATCTCACTCACTCATTCACTCACTCACTCACCATCTCATTCACATCTCACTCATTCACCCACTCACTCACCCACTCACTCACCGTCTCACTCACTCGTGGCCACGGCACTCCTATCGCGGTCTCTCGACTTCTCACCAGGATCAGGGTTACACAAACGTCAACCTCAACACTTGGGAACTCCTCGCCAGAGGTGATTTGACTCCACCCTCCTCCCCCCCACAATTTCGTCCCGTGCCCCCTCTTGGTTTAGCCCGCGACCCCTGCCCACCTGGGCAAGTGGTCGAGTCCGATGCTGCTATGAGATCACGCTGTCCATCACAGGGGCTCACTCTGCTCTTCCCTTCTCGAGGTAGGTACACCAGGATCAGCATCAACATCATCAGCAGCATCAACATCATCAGCAGCAGCAACATCATCAGGAAACTCATCATCAGCATCATCAGCATCAGCATCAACATCATCATCAGCATCATCAACATCATCATCAGCATCATCAACATCATCAACATCATCAGCATCATCAACATCATCAGCAGCAACATCATCAGGAAACTCATCATCAGCATCATCAACATCATCATCAGCAGCATCAACATCATCAGCAGCAACATCATCAGGAAACTCATCATCAGCATCATCAACATCATCATCAGCATCATCATCAGCAGCAGCATCAACATCATAATCAACATCATCAGCATCATCATCAGCATCATCATCATCAGCATCATCAACATCATCATCATCAGCAGCATCATCAACATCAGCAGCATCTGTATCGTCGCCATCAGTACCTATAACATGATCATGCTCAGCAACATTAGGATCAGCAACATCAGTATCACCAGCAGCATTATCAATATGATTATCGCCAGTGGTAGCATAAGTGTCATCAGCAGCAGTAGCATCATCAGCAGCATGATCAGCAGCAGTAGTGTCATCAGCATCAGCATCATCGTTCACGTGGATATCATCAGCAACACCACCAATAGCATCGCCACCATCAGCAGCATCATTCGTAAGATTATCATCAGCACCAGCAACACTTTCAGCCCCATCAATATCAGCATTACTTCTACCATCGGCATTAACAATAGTATCATCATCAAATTCATCATCACCAGCACCACCAATACCATCAGCACAATCATCAGTATTATTTCCAATAATACCACCACCACCATCACTACCAACAGTGGCACCAATACCATCATCACCATCACCGAGATGATCATCATCACCACCATCAACCATGGCCACCAACACCATCACCTCCACTCATATCGTCAGCAGCAGCAGCATCATCACTACCAACAGTATCATCATCACAATCATCATCATTATTACCACCACCAATATCATCAGCATAATGACCACCAATATCATCATTACCAACATCATTATCATCGATATCATAATTACCAATATCATCACCATCTCCAGGATCATAATCAACATAAGTGTGTGTCAATGTGTGACAGATGACACTGGTCAACACACTTTTTCTGGCATAAGGTATTCCAACGGTTGTAAGGTAATTTTGGGGTGCTGATTCCAAATCTGGCAGCAGTTTTTGTCTATCACATCAGGTTTTTGAGATATCAAATATTGCATTTTCAATAAAAACTGCAGAGGAAAAATATTAAATAAATGTGGATATCTACATAAAATTATATTACAAACACACTATCCTAAAAATACAGCACCATGTTTTAACACTAAAGCAGTCACTGACTCGCAACAACTTGCAATCATAAGTGACAGAGTTAATTTCGGGTAAAATCAATGAAAATGGGGTATGCCGATAGCATAAAAAATTAACCCGTAAAAACTAAGTTTTTCACTATAAATCCTTTATATGCGTGGCATCGGTTTTATTTTATTATTCATTTCTGTTTCTCTTGAGTAAGAGTTTCATTTTTATCACATTGGTATTTTAAATTAAATATAAGGAAAGTCGTATATAAGGATTATAAGGTTTTCAGTTTTTGTATAATTGTTTATATTGTACATTTTTGTTGTTTTCTTGAATAATTTTCTGTGTTCAGGAAAAATATATGATTGTGTTAGTGAAATTTTTTTTTCCTAAAAAGTGTAAAATTTTAGAAAAAATTTTCACGAAAATAAATTGTCACGCACAACGAGTCTGTGTGCAAAATGTCAGCTCGATTGGATCACGGGAAGTGGGTTTAAAAACGATAGAAAGATTTGCACGGTCGTAAGCGCGCAAGCAAGTGAACTTAATATAAAGGATTCAATGGGCCACAACCCAGCCCACATTGGTCTTTGAAACGGGCGGCTAGAGTCCTCTCGTCCTCTGGCTTGAGATGGCTTCCACCTATGGGTCAGATGATTGCCTGCCACCATTAAGCAATTGGTAATTAAATATAATTATTTTTTTCCTAAAAAGTGGAAAATTTTGGAAATTTTTTTTTTTTCACGAAAAAACATTGTCACGCACAACGAGTCTGTGTGCAAAATGTCAGCTCGATTGGATCACGGGAAGTGGGTTAAAAAACGACCGAAACATTTGCACGGTCGTAAGCGCGCAAGCAAGCAAGCAAGTGAACTTAATATAAAGGATTTAAAAATGAGATGTGATAGAGCAAATCTGAGATCAGATTTGGAATCAGCACCCTGAAATTAGTCTAGAACAGCTGCAAAAGTCCAGGCCAGAATTTTTTTTTTGTTGACCTGTTATCTGAATCGGACCTGGCCCTCCCCTAGGCCGACTCTGCCTCAAATGAGTACCTGGTGAGGATGTCCTCTGGCTCCCACGTTGTTGAACATGTTTTTACCACGTAGTTCCATCTTGTACATCAGATAACATGGGAGGCTGATCGATGCCCGGGTGTGGTCAAGCGACGGCTCTCTATTGGTCAACCATGTTACGTGTCCATAATATAGATTTTTTTTTGGGTAAAATCATTTAAATATAAATGTGTCGTTAAATCCGCCACCACCCGACACAGCCAATTAATAATGTTTGTCGCGTAAACAGAACGTGACAATTCGTTACTGGTACAGCACTAACCGCTTGTGTGTTGGAGAGCAAATCCACAACATTCACAATCTGAGTACGACGTTTCCCCAGTAATTACAACCAGCTTCATCAGGCGGCAGCCAGATTCGTGGAGAAATCCTCCTGTTTCGTTCAACAAATAGAGGGATAGATGTCATGACGTGAGGGAGGGGGGATTAATGAATGCATCTAAATTACAAAGGGGCATTTATATGGCCATTACCGATTGGGTTATTTTATGGTAATCAACGTACGTCATGCATGCACATTGTTCACGTACCTGCTATTGTCTCTTCACAGGTAATCCCCAGTGACGTAGCTTCTAAGTTACTCCAACAATGTACTACGGTATTTTAATAGTTTAAATTACCTGGACAGTTTCAACGCTCGTGTTATTTCATTTGGTTTGGGCATTCAGTGCCCTGTTTATTTGTGCATCATTGTAGCGCTTCTTTAACATGTTTAATTTCACTTCTCATACTATCACCATCTGACACTTTCTTAGCCCGATGTATGATCATCCTGATGAGAGAGGATTTCTATGTATGCTGATGATCTGGTGATTGCTGCTCACTCAGAGGAGGAGTTGGAGACACTGCTGCTGAACCTGGAGCGCGCTACTAAGAGGTGGGGTCTTACCATCAGCGCCACCAAACTAAGCACCTGCCTGGGTATGTTGTGCCATCAGACACTCCACCCCCTCAACTCCCCCATGAGTGATGGGGCAGTTGTGGAGAGAGTGGAGAGGTTCCTTACCTGGGCAAGTGTGATTAAAACCAGTTCAGATTTGGTAGGAGAGGCCTCACTCCGAATCAGTCGAGTGGCATTATCTTTTTATCAGCTAAGTAACGCTGTGTGGAAGCTACCTGGTCTGTCACTCCACACGAAGCTTCAGGTCTTTTTGGGCATGGTCATGCCCTCCCTTCTCTACACTTTGGAAAGTGGACCCCTATAATGGAACATATTTGCCGGTTAGAAACATTTAGGCTGGCCAGACACACACAAACATACACTCAGACACACACACATACACACATACAATCACACACAACAACAAAGACAAAGATCCCCCATATAGCCTGTAGGGGCAAGTGCTGTTAGCGAGCACCTATAAAGACCGGAACGGCACACGAGGGGTTGGGTGGCCAGCATCACGTCCGACCGCCTTTGTCTCCCTAGTGACGATGTTTACACACTGCACCAGGTACTCATTTGAGACTGAGTCGACCTAGGGGAAGCCCAGGACCGGTTCAGATAATCGTCATTGGTGTTGGCCGTGAATGGGAATCGAACCCGGGTCGCCGGGTTCATAGCGCAACGTAGCGCTGACCGCTACATCACCGCTCCCACCTAGACAAAGATCCCCCGTGTAGCCTTAACAGACTGTTGGGGCAAGTGCTGTTAGCGAGCACCTATGGAGGCCGGAACGGTACACGAGGGTGTGGGTGGCCAGCACCACGCCCGGCCGACTTTGTCTCCCCAGTGACGATGTTTACACACCGCACCAGCTACTCATTTAAGGCTGAGTCGACCTAGGGGAGGCCCGGGACCGGTTGAGATAATCGTTATTGGTTTTGGCAGTGAATGGGAATCGAACTCGGGTCGCCGGGTTCATAGCGCAGCACGCTAACCGCTACACCACCGCTCCCCCCTAGACATACACACAGACATACACACGCACAGACACACAGACACACGCACAGACACACAGACATACACACAGACACACAGACACACAGACACACACACACATACACACAGACACACACACAGACACACACGCACAGACATACACACAGACACACACACAGACACACAGACATACACACAGACACACACACAGACAGACACACACACATACAGACACACAGACACACACACACAGACATACACACAGACACACACACACACAGACGAGACCAACACTCCGGGCCAGGGCATGGCTGAGGTCACGCCGCTCGCAGTCTGGGGGGTGGGGGGGGTGCCCCGTGGATTAGTGAACGCGCCGCGCCGATGAATGGGGGCCCTCGGTTGAACGCGGCGCCTAAACCCGCGACTCCCGACTCCGGTAATCTCCGCCGCTCCTAAAACAACCGCGCGCTCAGCGATTCGCGGCTACGGGACTATCCACTCCCCCCCAGCCTCCCGCGATTGATTCCGTCTGAATGAACCCACCGAGTGCCAGCCGCCGCCACCGCTCGCAACTTGCCCTGCGTGTCGCGACTCGGCTTTAGCTTTTAGTCCCGTCGAGCGCAGTCCGTCTGTCTGTGACGTGGCGGGGATCAGTGCACGCTGGTCTGGGCTTTCCGTCTCGCAAGAGTTGATCTGATGATGATGATGATGGAGTGAGAGTGCCGTGGTTGTGAAGTTGTGTCGATGTTAGAGAGAGAAACCCAGGTGCCCATACCCACCATCACTCACTCATTCATCCATCCATACACTCACCCACACACTCACGCTCCACTTACTAGTCCATTCACACACCCACTTGCCCTCGCACTCACCTACACACTCACCCTTACACTCACTCATCCATCCACACTCTCACTCACACACTCACGCACCCACTCACTCGCCCATCCACACACCCACTTGCCCTCCCACCCATAGACTCACTCACCTACGCACTCACCCTTACACTCATTCAACCATCCACACTCTCACTCACACACTCACGCACCCACCCACCCATCCCTACACTCACTCATCAATCCACACATCGGAAGTCCCTCGGGATTCAAAGATGACGCCCATCAGGTTAAGTGGTGGCTCTTGAGGTTGCTGAGGTGCCCAATTCTGAATCCGCAAATCTGTGGGCATCGAGGGCGTCACGTGGCGCTCCCAGATGGAAGTGGAAATCCGCAGTGCCGGGTCTGCTTCCTTTTCTTCTTCTTCTTGGTTCTTTCGGTAAAGTCACGTAGAAGGAAAATAATAAAATAATAAAAATAAAAGCATCATAAAATAACTCTCACGACGTTTCGGCCACAACGCAAGCAGCCGTCTTCAGGTGGAGAACAGGTCTGTCGAGAAGACAGAGTCTGAATGGCACGCCCCAGGCTTGGAGCGACTATTTATGCTGGGATGGAGGGGCGAAGAGCGTCTTGACAAAATAATTTGCATATCGCTCACTCATCCATCCACACTCTCACTCACACACTCACGCACCCACTCACTCGCCCATCCACACAACCACTTGCCCTCCCACCCACGCGCTGTTAGGAATGAGCCTTATTGGCGGCGATCCGCTTCGGCATCGAGACGTCGGGTCTCCAAGTGGGGCCGCGGGCCTGGTGGATCCAGCATCGCCACCCCAAGCCGATCGGCAAACCTGCTGCGTTGCTCAGTCTCGAAGGTTGATTTGTCGGCGCTCTAGGGAGGACTCGAGGGTATCCTTGAACCGCTTCCTTTGTCCCTCCCCCAGAGGTCGCAAACGGGTTTTGATTCCTTACCCGTACCCGTACTCGGCCGCACCAGGGTCGCAAACGGGTATTCGTACCCGTACCCTACCCGATACCCGGCTACCCGTTACTGGCCAGGAGTTAACATCTCGGCCACCGCTGCGCCCTCCTATCTAGGTCATAGCGGTAGTGAGAGTAGGAAGCGGTGATTAGGGCAGTGGCATCTGTCCCTATGTGACACAAGGTGACTCAGCACCTGGGCCTGCGGGCGGGCGTTCATCTGCCAGTAGTGGGAGGGGGGTGATTGCTGCCGTGTGTGTGATCCAAGTCGATTGATTCGCGATTCATTTTCAAATTTGGACCCCGAGTCTATATGGGTGTCCGTATACGTATTTGCATCTTTCCATCCAACCGGTTATCTCCATCTCACCATCCAACCATCTATTCATCCGTTCATTCATCCATCGATCAATCCATCCATCACTCAAACCATTCAACCAACCATCTATCCGTCCATCCATCCACCATTCCATCCATCACCTCATCTATCCAGACAACAATCTATCTTTCCCTTAATCCATCACTCCATCCAACCATCCATCCATTGCTCCATCCATCAATCCATCTATCCATCACTCCATCGGTCCGTCCAACCAGCCACACGCATCAATCGCTCCCAACTACCTCACCGCACACCAACGCCGTCGTTCCCCCCACCCCCCGACAAGGCCCCGCTGACCCCTCCGCGGTGTCGACGCTGAGCCATGGGCGATTGGAGCTTCCTGGGCAACGTCCTCGAGAAGGTCAACGAGCACTCGACGGTGCTCGGCAAGGTGTGGCTCACGGTGCTTTTCATCTTCCGCATGCTCGTGCTGGGCACGGCCGCCGAGTACGTGTGGGGGGACGAGCAGTCGGACTTCGTGTGCAACACTCAGCAGCCGGGCTGCGAGAACGTCTGCTACGACGAGGCCTTCCCCATCTCCCACGTGCGCCTCTGGGTGCTCCAGATCGTCTTCGTGTCCACGCCGTCGCTCGTCTACGCCGCCCACGCCGTCCACCACCTGCGGGGTCGCGCCAAGAGGGCCACGCTCGCCACGGCCGCCGCCGCCAGCGCAAAGGCCGCGGCGGCGGCGGCCGCGGCAGCGCGATCGGGCGGCCCGCTGCCGCTCAAGGTTGCCGGCGGCGGTGGCTACTGCTCGGACTACCTGGGGCCGGCCGATGACGGCGCCCCGCTCGTGGAGAAGGACGTCGACGACGAGAATGCGATCAACGCCGAGGGCGGAAAGGTGAGAGGTCGGATGGTCGCGCGTGAGAGGCAGACGCCCTACGCCCGCGGTCTAGCCTCGGGGAGGGGACCCCTGTGAGGACCGTGTGGTACTCGGCACACTAGCCTGCAAGTAGGAGTTTTGTCGGAGGCGGCGAGGCCGCCATGTGGTTTTCCGCCAATTGAGTGATTTTTCTTTATTTTTGCAATGTAATTTTGATAAATTCGGCCAATTTGGACCGCCACACCGGCATGCAAGGGCCTACCATCTGCATCCCACAGACATCCGTGGGACGCAGATGAGTACACCCACCTGCGGAACGCAGACCAACGCGCCGCTAATGACGCGCCGCTAACGGCGCCCGATGTTTTGTTCCCGGGTGGATGAAGGTGCGCCTCGAGGGTAAGCTCCTGCACACCTACGTCGTGCACATCTTCTTCAAGGCCACCTTCGAGGTGGGCTTCGTGCTGCTCCAGTACTACCTCTATGGCTTCTCCCTGCGGACGCTGTACCGCTGCAGCCGCTGGCCCTGCCCCAACGTGGTCGACTGCTTCGTGTCGCGCCCCACCGAGAAGACGGTCTTCGTCGTCTTCATGCTCGCCGTCGCCGTCCTCTCGCTGCTGCTCAACGCCCTCGAGCTCATCCACCTCGCCTGGCGGACCAGCAGGCTCAGCAGCAGCGGCAAGGCCCGGCGACGGCGCTATGTCGGAGGAGGAGGAGCCGGCAGAGGCGGCGGAGGAGGAGTCGTGGTCTTGGGGGGCGAGGAGGTGGCGGAAGATGCCGTGGCGCGGCTGACTGAGGACGGCTGCGTGCCGGGAGCGGCCGCCTTCGCGCCCCACAGGCCATCGGCCCCGTTCAGGGGAGCATTTGCGAAGGCGAATGAGAACACGCTGCCCTCCTTCTGCCCGCTCTCCGTGAGCCACCTGACCGTCTACGGCTCGCACACGAGCAAGGAGGCCGCTGAGAAGCCGAGCCTCGCGGCAGACGCCGGAGGCAACTCCGGGAGACATTTCGGGGGAGGAGGAGGGAGCGGAGGAGGAGGGAGCGGAGGAGGAGGGAGTGGAGGTGGTGGTGGCAGCGGAAGCTTGAGCAGTTCTCCCAAGGAGATCAAGGGGGCGGACATCTCGGATCGGAGATCTCCGAGCAGAACGAGCTCTCGAGCGCGGTCCGATGACCTCAATGTCTAAGAGTTAAGAGAGCACAGGGCTACTTTCTTTTTTTGTCAGACACCAAAATGGCGACTTGAAACGCCGATCGATAAACAAAGTCTCCCGCAACCAAAGCTCACTCGGCACTCTGATCATGAAACACAATCTCCTCGAGCCAAGTCTCAGTTAAAGGTGCCAATCCATAAACCCGGGATCTGGAGCAAATCTGCGATCATGACATTCGATTTTTCTCCTGTCGAGTGTCCTCATCTGAATCCCAGTCTTCCAGAATCTAGTCTTAATCGAGACTCCAAATCCCAATATCCAGTCTCCGAGATGAATGAGGAACTGAGTAAATAGTCCGGACACGAATCCTTAATTATATATTCTGCTGGAACCAAATCTCAATTGACGCTTCATTCCTCAAATCCGGTCAATGTAGACTCTGATCATGAAACTCGGCCGTCCTGACGCTAAAATCTTATCAACTCAAAAGTGGCTCTGTGTTCTCTCAGTCTGACAAACCTGATTCTCACGGTGCCAGTGTACTCTTCTGAAATCCTACCTGCTACCGGACCTGTTCATCTTCCTGTAGGTTGTAATTTGCAAGCGCAAGTCCACTCAGCTTTCCCGCGAGCTCTCCGCCCGTATTTGTGCTCGCAGGGCCTTTGACGAGGTCCTACCGGGTGTGTGTCAAACCTCCAGTGGATTTTCGGGCCCCAAAAGACCTCTTTGCCTTCTGGGATATTATAATTGGTTTTATACCCTTTTATCTGGCAACAAAACTGACACTTTTTTTTACGAGGAGTCATGTTTGCATAGACCACAATACCTGCAGTCATGATGCAAACAAAAAACATAACTCAGATAATGTATGCACTGTCCTTGAAGTTGATTGGTCCACACCCGAGACAGTTTTCCTTAGAGCCTAGTCTCATATGGGTTGGACCAGATGGCCAATGAGGTACTAATGGTGTAAATGCTTACCCTGAGCTCTCATACTCTGATGGTGCATTCTCTTTGAGTTGTGCGCCGTTTGCCGTCATCTGGTCCAACACCATATGAGACTAGGCTCTAAGGAAAGCTGTCTCGGGTGTGGACCAATCAACTTCAAAGACAGTGCATACATTATCAGAGTTATGTTTTTTGTTTGCATTATGACTGCAGGTATTGTGGTCTATACAAACATGACTCCTCGTAAAAAAAAAGGTGTCAGGTTTTGTTGCCAGATAAAAGGGTAAAAAACCAATTATCATATTTTTTACTGGCAAATGAGGTTCTAATTCTGAGATGTTGTTGATGTGTCCCTCGAAAACTTCCCGCGAGATCGCAACGAATGTCGGAGAGCTCACGGGGGAAGGGGTAGAGCGGGCTTGCACATTCCCGCAACCGCCAATCACACTTGTTCAACTGTAGGCGAGCTTCCGTTATCCTGCTCAGGCCTTTCCCACAACTTTGGCATCGTCGTAATGGCAAGCCATTAAGGTTTACGATTCCAATACGTAAACTCTAAAGCAGTAAAGATCATCTTCTTGGTTCTTTCGGTAAAGTCACGTAGAAGGGAAGTAATAAAAAAAAAACATAATAAAATAATTCTTACGACGTTTCGGCCACAACGCAAGCAGCCGTCCTCGTTATTTTTTATTCTTTTATTTACTTCCCTTCTACGTGACTTTACCGAAAGAACCAAGAAGATGAATCCCTGCAGTCACGAAAGCTTTAAATCAGTAAAGATCATTTGACCTTAGACTGGGGTTGCCAGTGGTGCTGGTTTTTGCAGGATCATCCCCCTTGTTGAGAAGGTAGTGGCGCTGGGAAATCTGTTAAGTCATCCCGTGCCATCAAGTCACGGGGTTTTTTTTGTCAGTTTTATAATAATACACCACCTGTCCTTCTCCCATCTGCCCATAATGTGAGATATTATTCCTCTTCCCTTGCTATGCCCCAATTATTTTGTACACGTCAGAGGTGGCAACCCTCTGTGAGACAAATTCGACTAACTGGCCAACTTTTTCCCGTAACTTCATCGCATCATCCCAACGCAACAATAAGATTTACGATCAAATGTGTAAAATTCTAAACCGGCAAAGAACAATAGCCTGAGACCCTACCCTATCCTCACACTTACAACCTCAAAGGATGTTCGAAAGGGCTACTCGTGACACTTTTAATACAATTCACACCAGCCGTTGCGGCTATATCAGGTTTGGAGTTTGCGAGGTGTATGAGATGCCGGTAAAAGTGGGAGTATTGTAGGTGCTTGCATGTATGCGATCTGGAGTGGATATGAGAGTGTTGTGTATTTGTGCGTGCTAGTGTAATGAAGGGTGGAGTACCATGTCCGTCAATACGTGATGTGTATACGCATTCGCGTTAGGTTTGCCAACCATTGTACAATTATTACAGCTAGGTCGGGAAGTCGTCGTGGCCAAATCCGTTGATGCCACCACCAGACATTGCCAACTACCCTCTGTCACATCCCACAGCTGCTGCGTATTAGACAGGAGACCTCTACGGCCTACACGTAAATCTAAACCTGTTAGAATAGACCTCACAATGCAGTAGGCCACAGCCTGTTAGACCGGGCCTCAAAGTGCAGTGGATAACGGCCTATTAGACTAGGCCTCACATTGTAGTAGGCCACAACCCTAGAGGACTTGGTCTCACATTAGTAGTAGGTCACATCCTGTTAGAAGAAGCCTCAGGCCACAACATGCTGTACCAGGCCTCAAAGTTGAGTAAGCCACACGTGCTATGCCAGACCTGCTGCCGTATCGGTGCCTGATAGCGAACAAAATGGCAAAAATGGTCCAATCAACAAAAACATCCTCAGAGTCCGATTTGTACTGGCGATGTTTACCATGTCAGTAAAACTATTAGTGCATCAGTAAGTTACTTGAGCTTCTTAAAAAGAAAGCATAAAAGGTTTTAGGTATCGGTGAGCCAAAGGTGCTTGTTTGTAAGGCATTAGCAAGCATTAGTAAGCATTTAGTGCTTAACGCTTTTGGAATGTATTTTAAGTATTGTCGTACACCGGGGAAAGCTTTGGTAAGCCGCAGCTGCACGTGAGTCATGCTGTTGGCATTTCCTATTGAGCCAATGTTCAACGTTAGTATTGGCAAGCCAAAACTTGTTGGTAAGCAACGGAGAGGCCGTTATCAAGTAAAACGGCGTGTTGTTCGGGGATTGGCAGGCGTTAGCCATCGCCAAGCGTTTGTTGAGATTGCCAAGCACTCGCCAAGAACGCGTCAACCAAAACCAAGGATCATCTATATCGGTGAATCATTTGCTCATCGTTGGTAAGTCGGTTCAGAGTGTTGTCCACTTCGGCAAGCCATTTAGTGTTGTTAAGCCATCGGTGCATGCTCGCTGCCAACAGGACAACTGGTAATCCAAAGATGCTTTGTTTTAATAGCATGACTATGCCAAAGACCTGGGTTTGTGTGTCATGTTCCACTTTCGTAAGCCACCTTAGTAAGTAAAAAACAACTAGCTAGCTTCCACGCGAATATGTTTTCTTAGCAAAACGAAACTGCGGCAAACTTCTTCAACCGCGCCGTAAGGGGTAAGGGGTGGCCAATTTGAACGAGGGCTTTTGTCGATTACGTGGCGCCTCCCAGATAAAACAAAATGTCTGCTGTCAATTTCAATATCGGGGGGGGGGGGGTGGTCTTACGAAGATTCCTCCTTTTCCACTCGCACATCCGACGCCGTGCCAACATGGGGGGCAGTCCACGGCACGGGTGTTTCTTTTCTTTTACCCACTGGCTAGTTATTATCATGCTGGGGCGAAACAGATCCGTGGTACCCTGGCTTCACAAGAGGTCTGGTATCTGGCTCTGTACGTCCGTCAAGAACAACACCACGCACGTGCGTGTGCATGTGTGTGTGGCCATCAAAGGAAAAAATACGTAACGGCCGACGTTTTGGCATTGGCCATTCTTCATGGGATGTAAGGGCCAATGCCGAAATGTCACCTGTCATGTATATTCTTTTTTACTTTTAAGGCCACTCATACACGGTGTTGTCATTGACAGATCTGTTCAGTCGTTAGCTGTGCTCGTGCACCAACTGCCAACGCAGCAGCAGCGGTGGCTAGGAGATGTTAACTACCTCGCCTGGTATACAGGAGGGTCGTGGGTTCGATCCTGACCCTGACTCCTGCTCAGAGGTCGCAAACGGGTTTTGATTCCTTACCCGTACCCGGCCGCACCAGGGTCGCAAACGGGTACCCGTACCCGTACCCGGCCGTACACGTACCCTACCCGTACCCGGCCGGATACGGGTACCCGGCCGGGTACGGGTAGGGTACGGGTATCGGGTACTTGATTGCGACCTCTGGGATGAAGCCATATTGCAGGCGCGGGTGGGTTGATTCTAGGAACTTGAATTGTGAGAAGAGACAAAACGTTGGGAAATGAGTGACAAACGGTTACTCACCAGTGACTCACGGTCTACCCATACCCGTACCCGGCCACACCAGGGTCGCAAACGGGTACCCGTACCCGGCCGGGTACGAGTTCGGGTAGCCGGGTATCGGGTAGGGTACGGGTATCGGGTACCCGGTTGCGACCTCTGCTCCTGCTGTATATTTGGAGTTTGCATTTTCTCTGTGGGTTTTTTCCCCTCCACATTTAGAAACATTCACTTAGTATATTTGGCTACTATAAATTTCCACGTGATGAGAAGCCCACTTCGTCGAGATGTAATTTGTGATAGCCAAGTCGCTTCTGAAAAAGAGCAACATAGCTCAGTGGGCCGTACCTGGTCAAATACATTTTTTTTTTATTTTAGTATCACCAACTACGACACGGCTCAGCACGGCTCGGCTTGTGCAGTGGAAAAAAACCCTCCCGGTTCATCCTGAGGCCTCGCACCAGGCTGGATCAGCATGGCCACGGCACGGCTCGCTTGTGCCAGTGGGACAAAAACAAAGATGTATGATTGGTGTAAAGGAGGAAACGTGATCAGACCTGGGCACTTGTGATTAGCTGTTGGGTTGTACTATGCAAATAGCTTATGATTGGCTGTTGGGTTGTATTATGCAAATGCAGAATAGATATTCATAGAAATCTGCCACCTCAGGTGGAGAGTTGTTTTTTTAAACAGTGTTTTTTCTGCTTTTTATTTTTGTTTGCGCTGAAAGCAAACTTACATTTTTAACGAAAAGAGCTTCTTAGAAGTATCTTCTCTTTTTAAATCTGAACAGCATTTCACTTTTAAAAAAATGGACCGCGAGCACACGAAACTTTGACCCTTTTTAACGCGATGAACAGCGTAAGTTAAAACGTTTATTTATTTTAAAAATAACTCTTAAAAACTAAAAAACTGGTATTCCCGCTTTTCCCAATAAAGTTCACGCGTTTAGTTTAAAAGCCGAGCGGTGGATTCGCGAAACGTTTTGGACGCACGACTAAGAAATGTGCGCCACAGGCCCCAGCGCTTCGGATGCAGCGCTTCCTGTAAAAAGGGACGAAGAGTTTAACAACAAAAAGTAAAATCCGTCACAACCATAACGACGGATGAATATGTGCGTGAGGAAAAGTCCTCGCTTAACGCTTTCGCGCAACGCAGAAGGCGCGCCGTTATAACGCGGAACGCGAGCGTCGTTGTAACGTGGAACGAGCACCCCCCCCCCCCCCGTTATAACGCAGATTCTGTGCAAGCGGACTACTTTCTTGGGTTGTGCAACGCAGAGTGGTACGGTAATGTGGTGGCGGTGGCGTACCCTCAGTAACCTGTCCCCGCTGTCTCACCGCATGGCACGCGTAGTAGTAGTCACAGTGGCGGGGGGATGTCTCCGCTTAGCGCGCTTTTTCGCACGTTGGCTGCAACACTTTTCAGGAACGCATCCACCACCACCAGCACAAGCATCACCACCAGAACCACCAACAACAACCGCCAGTGGCGGTGATGTCACCACGACGCCTGTGCCAAGCTATGTGCACGTTAAGGCCACGTGAAGTGTCGAACGCCCGCTGGCAGGAGGTCACTGGACAGACCCAGCAAGTGCCATGGGTTGACTGACCACCACCACCACCGGTGCGTCATCAAACGGGGGGCTCACCGTGCTGTACTCTCCATATATAAGAAGCGCCTTTGCAGTCCGACCCGCTCAGTTTGATTGAACGCAGTTGCCCGACCGCACAAAACACAGTCGCTCGCACGGACAGGCGGTCGCGACAACGTACGGCGTGAGAGCTCCATCGCGGTACCATCATCATTGTCCCTTTCCTTTCTCGACGACGCTATCAGGTTCTCACAACTCAACCCCTGTTATAAGTGACCGCAGTGGGGGGGGGGGGAGGTGGAGGTAAGAAGTGGACGATGTAACGGACCCCCCCAGGTCTCCAGTCTAAATCTTAAGTCTATCTCAGTTGGGGGGGTCCTGCCCCGGCCCTGCCCCCCTCCCCTACCGCCTCAGCAATAAGGGGAACAAAGGTGTCGAACATCGTTGTGGTTATAGCGGCAACAACAAGACGCGGTGTCGTCACTGGGGGCTGTCTTTCTGTCTTCTTCACAATTCACACCTTTTCATTGCCAATTCAAACAAAAATAAAAAGGCTCATTCACTCCATTCGGGACTACAACCTTTGGGGGAAATTCGAGCGGACGGATCAGAAAAATGTTTTTACGCGTCCTTAAAACCCCCTAAAAAGCTGTCCACGTCGATTAACACGCAGCAGCAGCAGCAGTCAGCTTTCGCGACCGATATCATCCATAAGAAGTTGGGATAAGCAGTTTTGTTGCCAGATAAAAGGGTAAAAAACCAAATATCATATTTTTTCTTCTGTCAAATGAGGTTCCAATAGTGTGAATGCGGTGATGTCATGGTGACGTCACGGTGACGTCATGGTCAAACATCGCTCGGGACCGAAATGCCGTGGATCAACAAAGGGGCCGTGAGCTTTTGTTTTCTAACCGTCGAGGAGTTACGTCTCGGATTTTTTTGGAAGCCCGAGTGGCAGGCAATGATGATGACGACGACGACGGTGACGACGACGATTGCAGGTTGTTGCTGTGATTGGGCGGAGTCGGTCACGTGGTGCTCAATTCATTCGTAGCTTCCCGATTATCGCTGCGATTGGACCGAATCGGTCACATGGCGCTCAGTTCATGCGTGACTTCTAAATTTGAAGCTTTCGTGACTGCAAGGATTCATATTCTTAGGTTTTTTTCGGTAAAGTCACGTAGGTAAAAAATTAAAATTAATAAAAGTAAAATTAAAATAAAATAAAAATCACGACGCGTCAAGTAAGATGCAGCAATCGTGGCTGTGACGGTTCCACCTGAAGACGGAAGCTTGTGTTGCCTCCGAAACGTCGTGATTTTTATTTTATTTTACTTTTATTAATTTTAATTTTTTACCTACGTGACTTTACCGAAAACACCTAAGAACATGCGTGACTTCCCAGTTATCGCTGTGATTGGACGGAATAAGTCACATGGCGCTCGATTCATTCGTAACTTCCCGGCTGTCATGGTGATTGGACGGAATCGATCACATGGGGCTCAATTTATTCTTAACTTTCTGGTTATTGCTACGATTGGACAGAATCGAATTCGCTGCTTCCTAAACCAAATGCCTTTTGTTCTAAAGAATCTGAATGATGCACACCGTCGATGTTGTTGGCGAGCGGATGATGCGTTGTCGTTTTTTTGTTTTTTTTGGGGGGGGGGAAGGACGTGTACATTTTTAACCATCGTGTTGATAAAACTATTCTAAAAAACTATCAAAATGAACGGCACTTACTCGAATAAAACGGTGAACTGGAAACCCAATGATTGCGAGGTTTAGTCTTGAGTGTCGTGCGGCGAACTTTGTGAGCGTGTGTGTTAATGTGTGTGATAGTGTAGGGGTTAGCGCTACGCTGCGCTACAAACCTGGCCACCCGGGTTCGATTCCCGCTCACGGCCAACATCGGTGACGATTATCTGAACCGGTCCTGGGCCTCCCCTAGGTCGACTCAGCCTCAAATGAGTACCTGGTGCGGTGTAAACATCGCCACTGGGGAGACAAAGGCGGCCGGGCGTGGTGCTGGCCACCGACCCCTTCGTGTGCCGTGCCGGCCTTCATAGGTGCTCGCTAACAGCACTTGCCCCTGCAGTCTGTTAAGGCTATACGATGGATCTTTGTCTTTGTCGGTATGTGAGATCCTAAACTCTGCCTTCCCTGGCGTGGCCAGGAGAGGGGGGTAGACGATCTTTACGGAGAGCCAACCTCTTGCCCCTTGCCAATGAACATCTGGGTAGCTCGCGCCAGCAACCGATTCTTCTGATGAGATGCTGAATTTCGAAACCAGCCCACACACTTTTTCTTGTACTGAACCAAATGTTCAAGCCGTCCTGACTGCTGACGAGACAATGAATGTGGAAACCAGCCCACACTTGTTCTTGTACTGAACCAAATGTTCAAACTGTCCTGACTGCTGAAGAGACACTGAATGTGGAAACCAGCCCACACTTTTTCTTGTACTGAACCAAATGTTCAAGCCGTCCTGACTGCTGAAGAGAAACTTGATGTCAACACAGGCTTCAGAACCTTATTTAATCGTTTTATCGAACCAACGGCAGCCCTTCGCAATCGCAGGGGACGTGACAGCGGTCACGGCAGGTGACCGGAGACTAACGGAGCTCATCGGATGTCTGACACAAACGCGTGTTGTCTTCACAACGCGATGATGAACGCATTAAGGGAACGCGTTTCTTGGTGGATGCCGATTGGAGGTAGAAGGCGATCGAGCGAACGGTTGTAACGGCTGCCTCGGTGCAGCATCGTCATCACACGAGGCATTGGGATGCTGTTGGATGCTTCTAGAACAGTGATTCTTAACCTGAGTTGCATCACGCACCACGCACCACCCCAAAATGCCCTTTCTGGGGGGTAGCGAGACGTGGCGAGATTTTTTTTGGAAGGTAAATCATCAAATGCAGCAACGGGCACGCAAGTACAAATTATAATGGTGCGTTTCTTGCCAGTGTCGAAATAGAGAATGTATAAATTTCGATTTAAAGCTTTCGTGACTGCAGGGATTCATCTCCTTGGTTCTTCGGTAAAGTCACGTAGAAGGGAAGTAATACAATAATAAAAATAAAACATAATAAAATAATTCTCACATTTCGGCCGAAACGTCGTGAGAATTATTTTATTATGTTTTATTTTTATTATTTTATTACTTCCCTTCTACGTGACTTTATTTTTTATTTTATTTTTAAAACATAAAAAATGTATTTAATTATGTTTTATTTTTTATTTCCCTTCTACGTGACTTTACCGAAATAAAAAAATGAAACATAATAAAATAATTTCATTATTTTTTATGTTTTATTTTTATTTCCCTTCTACGTGACTTTACCGAAAGAGCCAACAAAACTGTTTCATTGCCAGAAGGGGTGAAACCAATTCTTATCAGTACAACTTACTTTGTTTCATCAAACGCGATGTGTTTATTAACATTGAACATTTTTTTGAACAATTGAGAATCAAAGGGGTGCAAAGGCTGCGTTGGCTGGGTCATGTAGCCCGCATGCCCAGCCACCGCATGCCTAAACAGCTTTTGTTTGGCCGGATAGAGGCGGCTAAACGGGCGAGGCACGGGCTAGAGAAGAGATGGAGTGACGTGGTACAGGAGGACGTGGAGCTGAGTGGACTTGCCGATGACTGGTACCAGCGGTGTCAAGATCGGCCTCTGTGGAGGAGGCTCGTGAAGGACGCTACTGGGCAGTTGGAGGCAGTCGCCCTCCAACAACAACGGAAAACAGAGGAGCGACGCTCACAACAACGAGCGGAGCACCGGGCGGCTAAAACGCAGCAAGTTGGCACAGTAGTACCTGGGTCTGCCCCGTGACCTCCTGTCAGCGAGCGTTCGACACTTCACGTGGCCTAAACGTGCACACCTCCTCCTCCTCCACCATCCTCCCCACCCATCACCTCCTCTTCATTCCCTTCCCAATCGTCCCTCTCCATCTTCCACCTCCTCCTCCTCCCACAGCTCCACCTCCTCATCCTCCACCATCCTCCCCACCCACCTCCTCCTCCTCTTCATTCCCCTCCCAATCGTCCCTCTCCATCCTCCTCCTCCACTTCCTCCTTGTCCACCTCCTCCTCCTCCTCCTCCCACAACTCCTCCTCCTCCTCCTCCCACAACTCCTCCTCCTCATCGTCCTCCTCGTCGTCCATGTCTGGGCACGCGTACGAGAGCATCGCCTCCACTTGCAGGTGCACGATGGCGGCCTCCGGGTGGAGTCGGGGCGGCCCCGAGTGGGCCACGTTCATGGCCCAGGCGTCCACCCAGCCCAGCGGCAGGCCCGACAGCAGCCGCCGCAGGGCCACGTTCTGCTGGCGCGCCAGCCAGTCGCTGCCGTAGGGCGCCAGCTGCACCGACTGCGCCTACGGGGAGGGGGGGGGGGGAGTTTAGACGAGACACCCTGGGTGTTGGCCGCGAGCAAGATTCGAACCCGGGTCACCATGTTCATAGCGCAGCGCGCTAACCGCTACACTACCGCTCCCCGCACACACACACGTGTACACACACACTAGTACACATACACGTGTACACACACACACACGTGTACACACGCACACGTGTACACACACACACGTGTACACAGACACTAGTACACATACACGTGTACACACACACACGTGTACGCACACACGCGTACACACACACACGCGTACACACACACGCGTACACACACACACGCGTACACACACACACGCGTACACACACACACGCGTACGCACACACACACACGTGTACATGCACACACACATGTACACGCACACACGTACACACACACACACGTGTACACACACGTGTACACGTACACACACGTACGCGTACACACACACGTGTACATGCACACACACATGTACACGCACACACGTACACACACACACCTGCGTGTTGGCGGTGCGCACCACCACGACGGTGCCCGGCTCACGCGCCAGCAGGGAGCCCAGCGCCCGCCCCAGCGCCCGCGCCCTGCGCACGAACACCCCCAGCGGGAAGCTGGTGAAGTGCGCGCCCAGCGACAGCGCCACCACGCAGCCGCGGCCGCCCTCCAGGCGCGCCAACCGCGGCGCCTCCCATCGCAGCGTGTCGGCGGGCACCCCGGTGAAGCGGATTGGGGGGCCGTGGCAGTGGTAGCGCAGCGACGTGGAGCGCGACGCGTCCACCGCTAGCAGGGGGCCCGTGCTGAGGGGGGCGCCGGTCGGGACCTGGCGGAGAGCTGCGTGATGGGCGGGCGGGGGGCGAGTTGTTAAGACTCCATATATATACCAGTCGTGGCTGTGACGGTTCCACCTGAAGACGGAAGCTTGTGTTGCCTCCGAAACGTCGTGATTTTTTTATTTTATTTTAATTTTTTTATTTTACTTTTATTAATTTAAATTTTTTACCTACGTGACTTTACCGAAAAAACCTAAGAATATGAATCGTTGCAGTCACGAAAGCTTCAAATCTAGAACTCGATGACGCCTTCTTCTTTACCGACGACTCCTTCTCCTCGTCGTCCCGGCTACAGTGGAGCAGCCTCGGCATCGTCGCCGTGACGATGGGGCGACGTTCGCTCATGCAGAGCAGGGGGAGAATACAAACTGCACTCACTCTCACACACTCACTCACTCACTCACACACTCACACACTCACACACTCACTCACACACTCACTCACTCACACACTCACTCACACACTCACTCACTCACACACTCACTCACACACTCACTCACACACTCACTCACTCACTCACACACTCACTCACTCACACACTCACTCACACACTCACTCACTCACACACTCACTCACACACTCACTCACACACTCACTCACTCACACACTCACTCACACACTCACTCACTCACACACTCACTCACACACTCACTCACACACTCACTCACACACTCACTCACACTTGCACTCACTCTCATACACTCACACTCGCACTCACACTCACTCACACACTCTCACACGCACACTCACTCACACTCATACACTCACTCTCATACACTCACACTTGCACTCACACACACTCACACACTCTCACACACTTGCACTCACTCTCATACACTCACACTTGCACTCACACTCACTCACACACTCTCACACGCACACTCACTCACACTCATACACTCACTCTCATACACTCACACTTGCACTCACACACACTCACACACTTGCACTCACTCTCATACACTCTAACACACACACTCTCACACACACACACTCACACCGACTCTCACACACTCTCACACACTATCACACTCTCACACACACACTCTCACACACACACACTCACACCGACTCTCACACACTCTCACTCACTCTCACACACAATCACTCACTCACACTCACACACTCACACACTCACATACTCACAATCACTCACTCACTCACAATCACACTCTCACACACACTCTCACACACTCGCACACACTCACACACTCACACCGACTCTCACACACTCACTCACTCTCACACACACTCACACTCTCACACACACTCACTCACTCACACACACACATACTCACTCTCACTCACACAGTCACTCACTCTCACACACACACTCACACACACCGACACACACTCACTCTACATTCAAGGGGGCTATGGGGTACAAGGCACCAACCCCACTCAGACAGAGAAAGCACACCACAGTCTGGACTCGAACCCAGGCCTTGCCGCGTTTTCCACTCACTGGGCACGAAGTCCACGAGGTGCTCGAACCACTGGCGCACGTTCGAGTCCCCGACGAGGTGAACCCTCTTCCCCGCCAGGCAGCGAGCCACCCGCTCCGGGCGCCTGAACCGCAGGGAACGGCACGACGGCTGCAGCCAATCGCCACGCAGGAAGTATCCGTACTCAGGTGGGGGCCCCGGGGAGCACACGGGGAGCCGGTGACGACGTGGTGGAGGTGGAGGTGGATGGTGATGAGGTCTGCCCGTGTCTGTCAAGGACACACGCAAACACCAACACCACCCCCCGTGTAGCCGTAACACTTACACTATGAGACGTCTCCTTTAGCAGCGGCAAAATGTAGTGATGTGTTTTTACCCTTTCAACTGGTACAAAAACTGACGCCTTTGTACAAGGCATCATGTTTGCAATAACCACAACACAAGCAGCCATGCCGGCCTTCAGAGGCGCTGCTTCGCGAGGCTGTTCAAGGCTACCTGGGGGACCTTTGCCTGTGTGCTCACCAGGGTGCGGCACGCGAAGATGAACGGTGATCCGGTCCGAGCCCAGCACGGGAATTGGAGTTCTCAAGTTCACGCCACTAACACGCACACAAAGACAAAGATCCCCCGCGTAGCCTTAGCAGACTGTTGGGGCAAGTGCTGTTAGCGAATAGCAACGCACAACAAAGACAAAGATCCCCCAGGTAGCCTTAGCAGACTGTTGGGGCAAGTGCTGTTAGCGAGTAGCAACGCACAACAAAGACAAAGATCCCCCAGGTAGCCTTAGCAGACTGTTGGGGCAAGTGCTGTTAGCGAGTAGCAACGCACACACAAAGACAAAGATCCCCCAGGTAGCCTTAGCAGACTGTTGGGGCAAGTGCTGTTAGCGAGTAGCAGCGCACACACAAAGACAAAGATCCCCAGGTAGCCTTAGCAGACTGTTGGGGCAAGTGCTGTTAGCGAGTAGCAACGCACACACAAAGACAAAGATCCCCCAGGTAGCCTTAGCAGACTGTTGGGGCAAGTGCTGTTAGCGAGTAGCAGCGAACTCACTCACAAAGACAAAGATCCCCCAGGTAGCCTTGGCAGACTGTTGGGGCAAGTGCTGTTAGCGAGTAGCAGCGCACACACAAAGACAAAGATCCCCCAGGTAGCCTTAGCAGACTGTTGGGGCAAGTGCTGTTAGCGAGTAGCAGCGCACACACAAAGACAAAGATCCCCCAGGTAGCCTTAGCAGACTGTTGGGGCAAGTGCTGTTAGCGAGTAGCAACGCACACACAAAGACAAAGATCCCCCAGGTAGCCTTAGCAGACTGTTGGGGCAAGTGCTGTTAGCAAGTAGCAATGCGCACACACAAAGACAAAGATCCCCCAGGTAGCCTTAGCAGACTGTTGGGGCAAACTATTTTGTTTATTCTACCAGGTGCAAGGCCCCTACGTAGCTATTTTTCAGAAGCGACCCTGACCCATCACGAGTGATGGGTCATCGAACGTGGCTCATCACCGTCACCGCCATCACGTGGACATTTTGTAGCAGCAGCCGGATACTCTCAACACGTGGCGTTCATTCTAAACGTGGCGGGGAAAGCCGGAGGACTCGGAGACAAATCCACACGACCACGGGGAGAGAGACACGCAAACTCCAAATACACAGCAGCAGGCGTAAGGGTCGGGATCGAACCCACGACCTCCTGTAGGCCAGGCGAGGTAGTCAACATCTCCTAGCCACCGTGATGATGATGAGAGAGAGACACGCAAACTCCAAATATACAGCAGCAGGCGTCAGGGTCGGGATCGAACCCACGACCTCCTGTAGGCCAGGCGAGGTAGTCAACATCTCCTAGCCACCGTGATGATGATGATGAGAGAGAGACACGCAAACTCCAAATACACAGCAGCAGGCGTCAGGGTCGGGATCGAACCCACGACCTCCTGTAGACCAGGCGAGGTAGTCAACATCTCCTAGCCACCGTGATGATGATGAGAGAGAGACACGCAAACTCTAAATATACAGCAGCAGGCTTCAGTGTCGGGATCGAACCCACGACCTCCTGTACACACCAGGCGAGGTAGTCAACATCTCCTAGCCACCGTGATGATGATGAGAGAGAGACACGCAAACTCCAAATACACAGCAGCAGGCGTCAGGGTCGGGATCGAACCCACGACCTCCTGTACACCAGGCGAGGTAGTCAACATCTCCTAGCCACCGTGATGATGATGAGAGAGAGAGACGCAAACTCCAAATATACAGCAGCAAGCTTCAGTGTCGGGATCGAACCCACGACCTCCTGTATACCAGGCGAGGTAGTTAACATCTCCTAGCCACCGTGGTGATGATGATGATGATGAGAGAGACACGCAAACTCCAAATATACAGCAGCAGGCGTCAATGTCGGGATCGAACCCACGGCCTCCTGTAGAACAGGCGAGGTAGTTAACATCTCCTAGCCACCGTGATGATGATGAGAGAGAGACACGCAAACTCCAAATACACAGCAGCAGGCGTCAGGGTCGGGATCGAACCCACGACCTCCTGTAGACCAGGCGAGGTAGTCAACATCTCCTAGCCACCGTGATGATGATGATGAGAGAGAGACACGCAAACTCTAAATATACAGCAGCAGGCTTCAGTGTCGGGATCGAACCCACGACCTCCTGTACACACCAGGCGAGGTAGTCAACATCTCCTAGCCACCGTGATGATGATGAGAGAGAGACACGCAAACTCCAAATACACAGCAGCAGGCGTCAGGGTCGGGATCGAACCCACGACCTCCTGTACACCAGGCGAGGTAATCAACATCTCCTAGCCACCGTGATGATGATGAGAGAGAGAGACGCAAACTCCAAATATACAGCAGCAAGCTTCAGTGTCGGGATCGAACCCACGACCTCCTGTATACCAGGCGAGGTGGTTAGCATCTCCTAGCCACCGTGATGATGATGAGAGAGACACGGAAACTCCAAATATACAGCAGCAAGCTTCAGGGTCGGGATCGAACCCACGACCTCCTGTACACCAGGCGAGTTAGTTAGCATCTCCTAGCCACCGTGATGATGATGAGAGAGAGAGACGCAAACTCCAAATACACAGCAGCAGGCGTCAGGGTCGGGATCGAACCCACGACCTCCTGTATACCAGGCGAGGTGGTTAGCATCTCCTAGCCACCGTGATGATGATGAGAGAGACACGCAAACTCCAAATACACAGCAGCAGGCGTCAGGGTCGGGATCGAACCCACGACCTCCTGTAGACCAGGCGAGGTGGTTAGCATCTCCTAGCCACCGTGATGATGATGATGAGAGAGAGACACGCAAACTCCAAATACACAGCAGCAGGCGTCAGGGTCGGGATCGAACCCACGACCTCCTGTAGACCAGGCGAGGTAGTTAACATCTCCTAGCCACCGTGATGATGATGAGAGAGACACGCAAACTCCAAATATACAGCAGCAGGCGTCAGGGTCGGGATCGAAACCACGACCTCCTGTACACCAGGCGAGGTGGTTAGCATCTCCTAGCCACCGTGATGATGATGATGAGAGAGAGAGACGCAAACTCCAAATATACAGCAGCAAGCTTCAGGGTCGGGATCGAAACCACGACCTCCTGTAGACCAGGCGAGTTAGTTAACATCTCCTAGCCACCGTGATGATGATGAGAGAGACACGGAAACTCCAAATACACAGCAGCAGGCGTCAGGGTCGGGATCGAACCCACGACCTCCTGTATACCAGGCGAGGTAGTTAACATCTCCTAGCCACCGTGATGATGATGAGAGAGAGACACGCAAACTCCAAATACACAGCAGCAAGCTTCAGTGTCGGGATCGAACCCACGACCTCCTGTATACCAGGCGAGGTAGTTAACATCTCCTAGCCACCGTGGTGATGATGATGATGATGAGAGAGACACGCAAACTCCACATACACAGCAGCAAGCTTCAGTGTCGGGATCGAACCCACGACCTCCTGTATACCAGGCGAGGTAGTCAACATCTCCTAGCCACCGTGGCATCAAGATAGATATCGTAAATTCTCTGCGCTTGGCAAACTCCGTCTGAGATGCAAACTGCAGGACGTGGAGCGTTCCAAGATCTCAATCACACTCTCCCTCCCAAACTAAATCTGCTGCGGTTTCAAAACTAAATAAACTAACACAGAGAGATAAACAGAGGCCCACAGAGATACTAAGACACTCATAGAGATACATAGAGACCAACAGAGATACACATAGACTCATATCGTCTCTGTGAGTCTACGAGTTTCTATGTGAGTCTATGGGTCTCTGTGCGAGTCTATGGGTCTCTGTGTGAGTCTATGGGTCTCTATATGAGTCTATGAGTCTCTGTGTGAGTCTATGAGTCTCTGTGTGAGTCTACGGGTCTCTATTTGAGTATATGGGTCTCTGTGCAAGTCTATGGGTCTCTATATGAGTCTGAGTCTCTGTGTGAGTCTATGGGTCTCTGTGCGAGTCTACGAGTCTCTATGTGAGTCTATGAGTCTCTGTGTGAGTCTACGGGTCTCAATGTGAGTCTATGAGTCTCTGTGTGAGTCTATGTGGGTCTCTATGTGAGTCTATGAGTCTCTATGTGAGTCTATGGGTCTCTATTTGAGTCTATGGGTCTCTGTGCGAGTCTATGGGTCTCTGTGCGAGTCTACGGGTCTCTGTGCGAGTCTACGAGTCTCTATGTGAGTCTACGAGTCTCTGTGTGAGTCTATGGGTCTCTATGTGAGTCTACGAGTCTCTGTGTGAGTCTACGGGTCTCTGTGCGAGTCTACGGGTCTCTGTGCGAGTCTACGGGTCTCTGTGCGAGTCTACGAGTCTCTGTGTGAGTCTACGGGTCTCTGTGCGAGTCTACGACTCTCTACGTGACCCAGTTTCTCTGTGCACGTGACCTGCGCGTCTTTTCACCACGCGCCCCCCCCCCACCCCCCGCCCCCCCCAGATGCAAATCACCCCTGAAACGTGATCCACCGTCGCCCTCCAACAAACCTGAATATTACTTGGAATCTCCATCATCATCTCTCTTTCTCTCTCCATAAATATGTTGGTGCGTGGAATTTCGAGACGAGACCGCAAAAGGCAAAGCAAAAAAAGGGGGGGGGGGGAGAGATTATCGCAGGACCTCCGTGGGGGGGGGCGATGCAAATGTTGCCCGCGCGGCAAAACCCCGTGAGGTGCCGAGAGGGACATAGACAGATTTACAAGAGGGAGAGAATATTTAGGTGACGCGATGGGGGCGAATCAGCTGGGGACCGGGTGGGTGGCACAGGTGAGTGAGAGGGGTCAGGGTGGGTTGGTGACACCCATTGACCCCCCCCCCCCCCCCCCCTGGCAGCACGCTCCGTGCGTGCGCCGCACATTTGCATGGCACACGAGACGGCGCTCCACTTCGCAAGCAAATCGGCGGAGCGCGGCGCGGACACAAGTCCTGGGGCAGCACCCGGAACACGGCACGTGACACACGGCACGTGACACAGCACGTGACACACGGCACGTGACACACGGCACACAGCACGTGACACACAGCACGTGACACGGCACGTGACACACGGCACACAGCACGTGACACGGCACGTGACACACAGCACGTG